CTTAGAAGAAAGAAAGAATTATTAGAGGATAATCAGGAGATATATGCAGCAAGGATGGCAGATATTTTACACTCAGAGAAAAGTGGAAAGATAGGAAGAGATTCATGCATCCAATTCTTATTAAAATCAAATAGAGATTTGAGAGATCTCATATTTATGAAACCTCTACATGTGAGGATAAAATTGGATTGCCTTGATCACGAAAAGGCTGAAAACGCAAAAGATATTATCCTAAGAGACTCCAAGGTTGAGGTCAATGTATCGCTTAACTCATAATATTCAGAGTTGCTACCTGCATATTCTTTTGTAACTTCGTAATTTTTTTATTGATTTGTAATGTTGTATACTTCATCATGGTTATGGGTAATGATACATCATTATGTGGCATGAATAATTCGTCCACATTTTATAATATAAGTGGATATTAATTGATACTATAAGATTCACATTTATAATATAAGTGGATATTTATTGTTTTCTCTTTCATGGTTTAAGCAACCACCAGCAGGCCTTTGTTCTTTTTCTTTGATTAGAAAAGTATCACTGCAAAGTACAAACAGAAGAAAAGGAAACACAGAGAAAAAGAAAAGTGAATATTTTTTCAAAAAAGAAACAGCAACTTTTCATTGTCGAGAATGTGAGCCACTTCCTCTATATAAGCAAACTTTGTATGCGACATACTTACCTTCATCTCAGAGGTTTTAAATTTGAATACCCATTTCCCAAACACCTCTCTTTTTATCATATAACAGCAAGATGTCTCACCAGGGAAGATGCAGTGCAACTAAAACAGAAAAACCTGCCACTATTTTTCTCCTCTTTCTCTTCCTCATCATTGTGTCTGCTCAAAAAACTACTAAGTTCACGGTCGGAGGCAATTCCGGGTGGACTTTTAACGTTGAAAACTGGACAGATGGAAATAAGTTCAAGGCCGGAGATAACTTGGTAATGCTAGCTAGAACATGCATCATACTTTTTTTTCTATAAGCAAGATTGTTTCGATTCGTTTTATGTGACCAACTTATTTATATTTTTGTGCAGTTTTCAACTATGATCCATCCTCCCACAATGTTGCAGTTGTTGATGCCAATGAATTTACTAGTTGCAGCGCTTCTTCAAACTCTAAGACATTCAGCACCGGCAAAGATCGAGTGAAATTATCGAAGGGACTTAACTATTTCATCTGCACCGTCCCCGGCCACTGCAATGGGGGAGTGAAGATTTCAGTTAATGCTTCCTAAACCAGTGGGAAAAATAAGTTGAAGGGGAGGGGAGGGAAGGGATGTTTATCTCTATGTAAGATGGCTTGAGTATTTATTTTTCACTGAATATTGGACTGTATTGTATGAATAACCAATGTGACATTGTGTAGCTTTGGGGCATTCTTGTATCTATATTTAACCGCAGCTAGAAAGATAAAAGAAAGATCCCATTATGTCCAAAAACTCTACAACCGCCAAAAATAATTAAGCAAATTTTTTTTTTTGGAACTAATAATTAATTAAGCAGATTTGGTTCCCACGTTTTTCTCTTTAAATTAAGACACTCACAACCCCTTTTCTTTTTTCCTTTCCATGCTATGCGGAAACACCAAAAGACATTAACCCATTTTGGTTTCTTGCTGACCTACACTATCCCTTTTTCCCGGGAAAGACAACAACGTTTTTTTTCCTGCATGCCTGGAAGTTGTTGATTCTAGTTTCAGTTTTTAGGTTGTTGTTCTAGAAATTCAAGGTTGGTTGTACTAAAATCTTGTTTTTCTGTCAATGTTTATAACCTCCCTTGTCTTTCTTCTATACCATATGCATTGCAAATCAATCCATTCCATTACACCTTTCTGTTGAGCCTCCTCTTGTGAAAATTGCTTTTCTGGTTTTTGGGAAACTTTGTGATCAACTCTTCATCTGCAGAATCTGCAGTTCATATTGAAAACTGTGGATTGAAAACATTGCAAGGATCATAAAAACTGAGATAATTGCAAGGAAGTTTTAAGATATTTATAAAGTACATGAGATGAGTTGCTTTTCTTGCTTTTCATCCCATGAAAAGAAAGCATATAAAAGATCGGATAGCGGGAGTGCAGGACAATTGCCCACCACTCTTCCTCAAACGGGACACAATGTTGCAGCACAGCCTCAGCCTCCAGCTGGTAAGTCACATTTTCGCCTTTCTTAATGTGTTTGTTATAAGCACTGTGATTGTTTTCAAGAAGAAAATGATTGTCAAGACAGCCTTCCTATTAGAACATTGGTTTTTAATATAGTTGCATTTAATTTAAGTCTCCTCTTGTATTTCATATCCATGCCTTTTGTGTGGGAAATAATTATCTGTCTTTATATAAGCAGAAGTTCCTAAACCAAGGCCTACACCACCAGCTGAGAGCCAAACATCACAAACAGGACAAACAGCACAAACAGCACAAACAGCAAACACTAAGAATGCCAATAAAGAAGCTGTAAACAATAATAATAATAATAATAATATTGCTGCACAAACGTTCACCTTCCGCGAATTGGCGACAGCAACAAAGAACTTCAGGCAAGAATGTCTGATAGGAGAGGGTGGATTTGGAAGAGTTTATAAGGGCAAACTTGAAAAAACAGGACAGGTAAAGTGGCTCTTGGGCCTTGTAGATTCTTCAATGTTTTCAGTGTTAAACTTACTTGAAGGATTGAGTTGTGACCCTTTGGCTTATCTTAATTACTTCAGGTTGTAGCTGTGAAGCAACTTGACAGGAATGGCTTGCAAGGAAACAGAGAGTTCCTTGTCGAGGTGTTGATGTTGAGCCTCTTACACCATGAAAATTTAGTCAATCTTATCGGATATTGCGCTGATGGTGATCAGAGACTTCTGGTGTATGAGTACATGTCTTTGGGATCTCTGGAAGACCATTTATTAGGTACTATACTATGTGTTTGTAAATTTCTTTTTGTACCATCTTGTGCCCTTATATGATAAGAGCAAAGAAATTATACATTTTATAGTGCCAATAAAAAATAAAAAATAAAAACTTCCTAGTGTTACTTAAAACACAGAAAGATCCCAAAAAATGACCAAGTTTTGAAAACTATACTACTGTCTGGCTTCTCATGCATTGTATCTTATTTTGCAGATATTCCATCACACCAGAAGCCATTAGATTGGTTCAAAAGAATGAGAATAGCTCTAGGAGCAGCCAAGGGACTAGAATATTTACATGACAAGGCCAACCCTCCCGTTATCTACCGCGATTTAAAATCTTCAAACATCTTACTAGACGCCGATTTCAATGCAAAACTGTCCGATTTTGGGCTAGCTAAGCTTGGACCTGTTGGAGACAAGACACATGTATCTTCAAGAGTAATGGGTACATATGGTTATTGTGCACCAGAGTACCAAAGAACAGGCCAACTCACTGTCAAGTCAGATGTCTACAGTTTTGGAGTTGTTTTATTAGAGCTGGTCACTGGAAGGAGAGTCATTGACACCACAAGAACAACCAGGGAGCAAAATCTAGTTTCTTGGGTAAATTTAAACTTCCCCTCACATTTTCTTCTTCTAATACACAAAGTGTCACATGTGTTTTTTTTCTTACAAAAGTTTTTTTTTTTTTGGGTCTTTAACAGGCAGAACCAGTATTTAAGGATCCAAACCGGTACCCGGAACTAGCTGATCCACTTCTCAGAGGAGACTTTCCAATAAGAGCATTGAATCAAGCAGTGGCAGTTGCAGCAATGTGCCTCCATGAGGAAGCATCGGTTCGTCCCTTGATGAGTGATGTGGTGAGTGCTCTTAGTTTCCTTGGGACAGGTCCAGAAACTGCTACCTCACCTATAAGCATGCCCTCTCCATCACCTGATCAAGCCATGTCTAGCATCACCGAGGAGCCTCAGGAGGAAGAAAGCGTGATCGAACGCCAACGTGCCGTGGCAGAAGCCATAGAATGGGGCTCAAGCTCAAGGCACAATGGAGCATCACGATGTGCAAGTACTTCTTCATTTTGAAACTGAGTTGCATGTATCTATATATACACATCATATATGTCACAGTGTTGTTACCACAGAACAAATCATTTCTGTATGAGCCAATGCCAGATTGTAACACTGTACTGAGTTGTATATATCCAACAGAGAACGTGAAGGAACAATAATTTCACATGTGAGAAGTTTTCTCAACTTATGATTTCATCTGTCATTGCTTCCCGGATTTATAGCAACCCTATATGTCACACTCTATCAATGACATAGGCCCTCGCCATAAATCCATTTGTACCACATTTATTAAAGTTCACGTGCATAGATCACAGATGGATCCAGCATATATGAGAGATGATTTACAAATACAAATTTAGCCATAAAATGTGATATTTGTAGCATTACTTGAGTCCGTAATTAAGTACCGGAGGATTTTTCATTGCGTAAATAGCTGAGGGAAAAACTGCATGTGTATGATCATTGCGTAATTCCATTAATTTCAAATATCAGTGCTGGTTCACATCTCATTCCCTAGGATGAAATGAAACTATAACGTAACACCTTTGATTAAAGAAAAATTACTTCTCAAAAAAAGAATTACTGATGACTTACTTATAATTATGACACCAGGATTAAAACAAATTCCTTTTCACAAGGCTTTCTTTAAGCAGAAATAACGCATCCATCATAGCTTTAGGGTTTAAAAATACAAACTAAAAACAGTTTCTTCATAGCCTCTCTGATTTTTCATCTCTTTCACTTTGATTAGAAAAGATTATAAATAAATAAATAAGACAATTATATTAAAAAAAAGAAAAAGAAAAATATTTTATAGTCAGGTTTAATATTCTTGGTTTTATTTTTTATTTTTAGTCCAAACTGGTTTGGGTTTGGGCTAAAGATCACAATTTTTCTTTGCATTAAAAGAAAAAAGATCATAATTTTTTGAGGAGCTGGGCCTGAATAACTGGGCTCACATGTACCCGCCTCCAATTTCCTTTGATTGTCTAACGTTGTACGTCTCTGCGTGTGGACTTCACGACCGGTAACCAAGATCAAAATCCAACTCTAGTACAACAAATCCGATAACTCCTCTCTCTCTCTCTCTCTCTCTGAAAAGAACGAACTTCTGAATCCTATGTGATTCTCATGCCAGGTACATTTTGCATCTTTTTCAATACGATATATTTGTTACAGTATACACTTTTGCAATGCAATGCAAATTGAATTTTCGTTTTTGGGTTCAAATCCTCATTGAGCTTATGTTGATTAAATCTTTCATGTATTGGTAATTTCCTATTTGTTTACATACACAAGACGGGGTTTATTGGGTGTAAAACAAATTCAATTCGTATCGTATTGGTATCGTTTCCATTGTGTCTTGCTGCGAATTAGTGTTATGGGGTTAATTTTACAAGTTTTATTTCCCTCATTTTTTGTGCTTTTTTGTGGTTTCAGGTAATATCTGGGTTTAATAGTGACTTGGGCATTGGTTATAATCCTCTGAAAGCACAGGAAGTTTGCTTATTGGGCTTTTGAAATTCAAGAGCTGATTTTTTAAGCAAGATTTGGGAGCTAATTTGATTTGGTATTTAGTGGAGAGATATGAAAAGTGAAGTTTGGAAGTGGGTTTTAGGTTTGATATATATATTTGCTGTTGCATCTATCTGGATAGCTGCCAGTTTTGTAGTACAGTCTGTTGTAGATGCCGGTGTGTCCCCATTTCTCATCACGTACATATGCAATTCACTGTTTGTGATCTACATTCCCTTAGTTGAGATTGGAAGGTATTTGGAGGATTCATGTGGCGGTTTGTGGTTTTGGAAAAGTAAGAAGAGTAGCCCCTTGCAAAGATTAGGAGAGTCAGAGCAAACCACTCTTCTTGAGGAGGGTGATGCAATTGTGAAAATGGATGCGGAAGATGGAGAAGTTAATCTTGGTACAGAAACAGAACCAAAAGTTGTATCATACGAGCTTGTTGGGACTTCAACAACTGGAGACAATGTCAACGAAACTGCTGATAAGCAAGTGGATGAAAAAGGGCGATGGACGCGAACTCGAGTGGCAAAAGTTAGCCTATTGATTTCACCATTTTGGTTTCTTGCACAGCTCACTTTCAATTTGTCATTGAAGTATACTACAGTTACAGTAAGTATTTTTCAACATTGTATGGCACACTTTGCTTCTTAAATTGGTTCATGTGTTTCATCAATTTGGTATGATTGATTTGTTCTTCTTGTTGCATGCAGTCGAATACCATCTTAAGCAGTGCATCCAGCCTTTTCACCTTTTTGGTCTCTCTAGCATTCTTAGGTGAGAAATTTACTTTGGTGAAGTTTATTAGTGTTCTTCTTTGCATGGGAGGAACGATAATTGTCAGCCTTGGTGACTCACGAACTACTTTAAGTACAATTGCTTCAAACCCTCTACTCGGAGACATACTTGCTCTTGTCTCGGCAGCCTTGTATTCTGTGTATGTTACCCTAATTCGCAAGAAGTTACCGGATGAGGATGATGAAAAAAGTGGCCGTGCCAGTATGGCCCAGTTTCTGGGCTTTCTAGGGCTTTGCAACATTCTTATATTTCTCCCAGTTGCCCTTATACTTCATTTCTCAAAGTTGGAGCCCTTTTATATGCTAACCTGGGAGCAGGTTGGCCTCATTGTTGGCAAAGGTTCGTACTTAACTGTTATATTATATGCTTTGTAACTTGGAGTTCCCTGCTCTGATATATACCTTTGTTTTTTTCTATTTGTCTTTGCATGTATTCTTAGAGTAATGCTAAAGACACCAATCTTAAAATTTTGGATACCAACTCATTCCCAGGGTTTCATTTAGTCTCACTCTAAACCTTATTTATTTTTAACAACTCAAATTGCATGGCAGCATCTTCCTTATCATTTGATGAGTAAACTTTGATAATTGAAACTCAAGTGCTTCTATTATTATTGGTCTTCACACCAACATACTTATGTCTGCCCAGTTCTACATGCAAAGAAATAATTTTAGTGCTTTTTTTTCTTCCGGAAGAGGGAGGGGGTGGAATGAATAGCTTATGGTATCCTTTGAGGGGCAAACTTTTACTTCATCCAGAACTAGTAAGCTGATATATTAGATATTGGGTGATTTTATGGCAAGGCAATCTGATAAGATCTTGCATTTATTGCTTGACTACTGTTATAGCTATTGTCTAAAGAAAAGCGTTCTGTGAGTAATATTGGTTTTTCATTTATTTGTACATGTAGCTCGTTTGAAATAAACCTTTAGTTACTGAATCCCATAACCTATTGATGATAGGCTGATTTCATTGTGGTCCAATACCGATTTCTCTTTTGCATGATTTTTAGTCCATTATTTTAGGCAAGATATGAGCATAGCTGGCTTGGGACACACAGGCATACAGATCGGTCATGTGAAGTTTGATGTTGTGTTTCTAACTTCATATAAAACCTATACTAAATCATATGGAATTTTATGTGGTGTTTAGGTTTGTTGGATAATGTTCTGAGTGATTATCTATGGGCCAAAGCTGTTCTTCTAACAACGACCACAGTAGCAACAGCCGGTCTAACGATACAGGTTCCTTTGGCGGCAATTGTGGACTCAATGACTGGCCATGCTCCTCATCTTGCTGATTACCTTGGTGCTGTGGCTGTCATGATTGGATTCACGGGCATAAACATTCCCACTGATGCTTTTAACAAATCAAATGAATCTATGCATGTACTAGAGAAGGAAAATATTGGTCTGACCGTTGAAGCTCACAATTCATCAGGCACGCCAGATTCAGCTGCCCCTTCATAGCACGATGAGGTTACTCTGAATGCAAATATATGTTGTACTATACCGCTTATTAGAAATTTTTGTAAATGCAACTACGATAAAAGTTAGTTAATTACGTAATTACTGATTGCCTGATATAAAAAGAAGCATTAGTTGCAATACTATTTACTTTCATGTTAGGATTGTCTTTCTCATCCTATCATTCGATGGTAGAAGAAACAGTAAGTTATGTTTCTGGTGGATTTTCTTTGTTCAATTTTACCCAAATGTGATATTCTAAACTACTCCAACTTATGTGATGGGGACACATTGGTGAGGTCAGGACCCGTGTCTTGGTTTTTATTTAGATTTCATGTGTCATTTGGTCGCTCGTATAAAAACCTTTCCGTCTCCAAGTAATCATTGAAATTTTAAAATTGTCAAGCCAAAAAATAACACTAAAAATTACAAAGACACTCTGCATTGTCCACCAGAGGAGCCTTACTGACTCAACCTTGACAAGTTCCATTGTTGATCGCTTCTCAAAGCAAATTCCTTCATAACAATATAGATTACGATAAATAAAAATTAGAATTCCAATGGTGGGAGAATGAGTCCCCAGTCCCCGTTAAGAAGCAAATTGGACAGTAGCTTCCTAGAAATAATTGCCAAATCCAAATGACCAACCCTGAAACAAATAGTGAGACTTGCATCCTTACATCTGTTAACTCTGCGACACAGTTGAACTTTCATGACTGTATCTCTGCATCACTCTTCTTGTTGCAAGTGCTGCAGCCTCGCTTGCACGGAATGTTCCACTTGCCATGATTGCAGCAAATTCAGCAGAGATTTCCTCTTGCACCTTACTTCGAGCGTCCCCAAGAGGATCTACAACCCCATTGGCAGGTTTGACAGCACTCTGTGATGTTCCCCGTTCCTCGGACTTGGTGAGCTGCTGCCCTCCAGATTTCGATTTAGCACCAACCTTGGTGTTAGAACTACTACTCAAGGGTTTCATGACATTCGTTGTTGGTTGAACCACAGGGGGCCTGAATTGCGGAGCTTGAGGAGCAGCACCACTTTTCAGTGTTGCTTCCAAATTCTGTATCATGGGCACTGCAAAAGAAAGTAAGGGGGATCATTCAGAGAAGGCTTGCATTATTGAACCACAGTTCCATAGTAACAATCCACACAACCTTCCTTTCCATTAAAATTCATTATCTTGAATTCTCTCTCTTTAATCTTAAATTCCAAAACCAAACACACCAAACATGGAAGATTCTAAGTTTAATTATCTGTATCACTAAAATATTAAAAATGCTACTTCAAACAAAGGAAATCCATATAACGAAGTATTAACTAATGATAGGCAAAAACAGACAGAAAATAAATATAACTTACAAATAAGAGCACCCATTGGACTGCCCATAACTTCGTTAGGGAGCTCCAGAATATAGTCTGGAACGGTTGCACCCACCAAAAACTGAGCAACCTCATTGCTAAAGTTGTTGCAATTGTGATTAAGTAAACTATAGGTTTCAGCAGTATACCGGGGACTGATTTCCTGCAAATACATCTCAAATACATCCTTGGGCACATGTGTGACACCCAATTCTACCACACGTATTGGTGTCCCATATGGTGTCGATCCAGCAGGAGCATGCTGTATGCCTCCCCCAAAATAGTACTCATTACCATAAACCACAACTCCTGTGTGCCTGTATTAAAAATTAACAATGAAGACTTGAAACCAATGCAAATGCCTTGCTAAGAAAAACTGGAAATAACAGTACTTCCTCAAATCAACGCACTCCACACTTGTATTCCAATGAACAAAAAACACTTACCATATGCCCTCGATGGCTTTCCCCAAGAAAGCCACGGACATCTGCCTAGCTAGTCCTTGGCTTAGGTCATATACATTCAAAGTGACCTTGTGACCCTCCTGCAACCAAGTTTTAATATATTAATTGCAAACCCAAAAAGAAATAAACATGGGGAAAATAACAAACAACATTACGATACAATAAAAAAGAAAAATACACACCTCTGCCATCTCTAGCCGTTCAATATCAAAATGCTCAGTTGAAGAATATGTAGGGTACTGAATTAATCAAGATCACCTATGCAAACAACACTGGTAAGAATAACCAACAACAATAAAATAAAATAAAGTAGGGAAATTTAAGGGGGGAAACAACCATTCAGTTCTGTGCAGCTAAAGCAAACAAAGACGTTTCCTACTCGACTCTCAAATCGGGCACTTCAAAGCCCAAGACGGACGTAAACATGCCCCAAATCCTATTGCAAACTTAAATTTACAAGTCCAAAAATGGAAAATCCTAAACTATGCAAAAAAAAAAAAACCAATTTTTAACATTTAAGCAGCATTCAAATAGGCTCCATACAGAATTCAACAAAACAACCAAATAATTGCAGCTACATTGTAAAAATTTGATCAATTACTTTACAAATCATTTTTACCTCCAAAGAAGACCTTTTCAATGTTCAAATTCCAAAATACCACACAATTAACCTTATCATTAAATATCACACAGATCAAACACAAAACCCCAAATTCCACACACAAAATTTCCGAACTTTCGGCGCAAGATCAAGCTCTGTTTAAAAAATTTCTACAATTCTCAACAAAGTTCAGAAATTTATCATTATAAGTGCATTAGATAGAGCAAATCAAATTGAACTACTCACAGGCTGATCGATTAGGTTTCGAGCTGTGCTTTGAGGAGGAAATACGAGAGAGAGAGAGAGAGAGAGAGAGGGCGTACCTAAGCGCGAAGACACGAAGAAAGTTCTCTTCTCTCCAATTTGCGCAAAACAAATTAAGAAACTTGGTTCGGTCCCCTTTAAATACTTGCTTGCCCCTACCAAATGGGACGAGAATTTGGATTCCTTTCACTTCCATGACTTTCCAGAACCTACTAACCACTTACCTCTCGCCACGTGGATTCTCATTCAAACCCCACGCACTCTAGAAAATATTTAGTTTACTTTTTGGCGCCACCTCTCGTTTAACTCTGACTAATTGACCAAAACGACTTTTTCTTATATATTTTATTTGCGTAGCTTGAAAAATTATATATTAGTTTTTTTAATTTATTTTGGGAGCACTATTGTATTTTTAATTAACCTTCGAATATTAGTTTTCCAATAACTAATGTTGATGTTATTGGGCTTCCACCATATTTTTGAGGTGATATAGTGTCTTTTCTTTTTTGTCAAGGTAATAATGCTATGCACAAATGTTCAAGAGGTCAAGGTAATTTGTCACTCACATTTCACATGTTAGTCACTTGCCAATCATTACAAAAGATTCATTATATACCATAAAATAATCAGAAGAATAATATCTTATTCGAACATCTCAAAGGACAATGTGGCAAATGCTCGCCCTTTTATATAGTTTGTACACAATATATATTTGATGTTTCACACATTAGTGACGTCATTAGTCATTACGAAAGATTCATTGTATACCACAAATTTGAAGAAGAATATATTATATGAACATCTAAAGTCGTTCATATTCCAAAACCAATATCGTAGCGTAACAAATTTTACCACTTAATTATACTCTTTTAAGCATCAAATGGTCCACAAGAATATTCTCTCACATAAAACTATAACAACTTAAAAAAGCTTACCACTTGACCACATTCTTAAGAACATCAAGCACTTTCAATCGAACATATGTTGTCATAGAATCTCCCTCGTCGCATTGTTGATTAAATTGAGATTCAACTACCACTTAATCACATTGTTTGATCAAATTGTTGATCAAATAGTTCTTATGTCGTTTAACGGGAAACTAGTTACACGTAATATTCAATCACGGGCCCCACAACCGAGCAAAAGAACGCGCCGAAACGCACCGAAACGTCATCACTTTAAGCACGAGCCAAACTCCGAACCTCGTCTCTACAATAACAAATTCACACGAACGTTACTCCAAAGCCTCAGCTTCGGCTCCGAACCTAATAAGCATCTTCCGTTAATATCTCTGGTCGGGATTCTCTCTGTCTATTTTCCTTTTCTTTTTCACTGTTAAAAGCTCGAAGGCCCTTCTACTTCAGTTACACTCAAGAAAGAGTCCATTTATTTTCTCGGAAAAAAGGGAGATCATAGAAAAAAATTCACACTCTTTTAAGTGAATTAAGCACGTAAGGTTTCAGATCACTGTCACTGTCATGAAATTTCAATTCATTTTAAGGAGAGAATGGTCGTCAGCTAAATCTTTGATGAATTTTTTTCTGTGGTTTTTCTTTTTCTGGTTGATGAAGTTTGTGTCAGGGTTTATGAGGTGGAGATCTGGTGGAATGGTACTGTAGGCGTTGATCCGTTGTTTCACTGGTATGGTTTCAGCTGAATTTCGATGAGAACTGTTGGAATTCTGTGGTTTTGGTTTTGAGTTTTGCTCTGTTTGGTTGCTCTGAAACTCGAGGATTATGGAGGGAAAAGTTCGTGAAGTTGTGCATTATATGATTTCTTTTTCTTTTGGTTGATTGAAAAAATTCTGTGGAGTTCATACAGATGATTTGAAGTTCGAGTCATAATTGAGGTAATAATTGTGAAATAATAAACTACAACGGTTGAATTTCCATTTTCTTTTTCGGGTTTCTGGGAACCGAACAGAATTTATCCTCTCTTTGTTTTTTTCTTTGTTTTACACAAATGAATGATCATTTCTTAGTTATTTTGGTTGAATTTACCTTGATGAGGGGATACTGAAGCTGTGGGTGGTGATAAATAATTGCAGGCCAAACAGTGGTTGCTTGTGGTTCATTTGTTTGGAGTTATTTAATAAAGGTAAAACATGGCACAGAGCAATTGGGAAGCTGATAAGATGTAAGTGTTGCATTAATCAATTTTTTATTTATTTTCTATCTGCTTGTAATTTTCTATATGATAATTTGTTCCTGGGTGTTGTTCCTTTCCTTGTACTGTTGTGAATTGATCATCAGTTTGATATTTACCCAGTTATTGATTTGCTTTTCTGCTACAGGCTTGATGTTTATATTCATGATTATCTGTTGAAAAGAAAATTGATTGCTTCCGCAAACGCATTTATGACTGAAGGGAAGGTTGCTACAGATCCAGTAGGTAATGTTGTCAGTTTCTAATTCATTCTCAGTCAGCTTACTGATTATGTGATTTTGAAGATTCAACTTAGCATGCATTTGCAGAACGTCATTTTATATCATGGTTTATGGTTTATGCCCACGTGCTTGCTCTGCGACGGCATGATTTGATAGTATATGTTTTTTTCTTTCCAAAAATAGATTTTGGTGTGAATGTCTTATGGTATATATGTTGAGATTTTCTAGAGAGTAAACCCGTTTTAGATTTGAATGTGCAGCAATTGATGCACCAGGAGGATTCCTCTTTGAATGGTGGTCTGTTTTCTGGGACATATTCATTGCAAGGACAAATGAGAAGCATTCAGAGGCTGCTGCAGCTTACATTGAGGTTCCTTCATATATTTAGATTTTCATATTTTCTCAACAACAAAAATTACTGTTCGGGATTTTTTTTTTTCCTGAATATGTTTTCATGAAATTAAGGCACAGCAAATTAAGGCAAGGGAGCAACAACAGCTACAGATGCAGCAGCTGCAGCTATTGCAGCAGCGCAATGCTCAGTTACAGCGTAGGGATCCTAATCATCCTGCTCTGGGTGGTTCTATAAATGCTATAAACTCTGAGGGAGTAATGGGGCAACCCTCAGCCAGTGTGCTAGCCATGAAAATGTATGAAGAGCGTATGAAGCACCCTCACTCGATGGATTCGGAGACATCCCCTGCACTTATTGATGCCAATAGAATGGCCCTACTCAAATCAGCTGCAAATCCACAAGGGTAAATTGTCCTCAGTTTTTGTAGTTATTTGAGCTTTATTTTTCCCTTCATTTCATTTGCCTGGACAGAATGGGTCGTTCATCTGTTTGGTTCTTGTTGATTCAGCCAGTTGGTACAAAGCAATTCTGGGAACATGCCAGCTGCTTTGCAGCAAATCCAGGGACGAACTCCTTTAACCACTGTAACTACTCAGACTGCCTTTACTCTTCATGCCTGTTTCTTTTTTTCAACTTTATTATATTCTGGTTTCTTTGCCTCTTTTTTTCTAGCATACTGAGCAATTTAATGTGTGGACTTGTGGAGATTGTAGGAAATCAAAAGCGAAGTTAACTTGGGTGCAACTCAGAAAAGTTTGCCTATGGATCCTTCATCAATTTATGGACAAGCAATTTTACAGTCGAAATCTGGCTTGGGTGGTGCAGGTGACAATACTTGACCCTATCTTTCTCAGATATGGCCCCACATGTTGGGAATAGTGGTAATTGTGCTTAGAAATTTTACAAATGCAATCTTCCTTTCGTCCTTCAGGACTGAGTCAAGGTATTACGGGTCTTCCTTTGAAGGGTTGGCCTCTAACTGTAAGTTATATATGGTTTTTTCTTCTTGGTTGTTTCTTCTTTCTGTTGTGAGTTTAAATCTTTGTTGTGATAACTGTTCCATAATGCAGGGAATTGACCAATTACGACCAAACTTGGGTGTACAAGTACAGAAGCCAAATCTTACCCAAAATCAGTTCCTTTTGGCATCTCAACAACAGCAAATCTTGGCACAGGCTCAGGCACAAAGTAACCTTGGAAATTCAACGAACTACGGAGATATGGATGCTCGTAGATTTTTGCCCAGGGGTAGCTTGAATGCAAAAGATGGTCAAGCTACTAGGAATGATGGATCTATCTGCTCCCCAGTGCTATCAAGTTCACCAAAGGTAACCTTTCTAATGTCATAGATTCATCTCATGAGGATTAGGATTCAAAGTACGCATGCTCAGAGAGATTAGAAACTTTGTTATTTTACCTTCTTACATTATTTATGTTAGTCGGTTACCTTTATGGTTTTGGTATGTGACGTATTTGCCCTATAATGATTAAGAAGTTATGTATTCTATGTCGTTATTGCCCCAGAATATGAAACTTCAGGAGCTTAAAAATATAAATCAGGTGATTGTACACTAATCGCTATTTCTTTCTTTGTGTTTAACAGCCCCAAAAGACGGAAATAGCATATTGAACCAGTTTTTAGTATTAGGGTTTTAGAGTTTAGGATAATGTTAAATCTATTGTCCTTGATGCTCATGCACCATTTTCTGCAAAATTTTCCTTTTAGGCATTTTATGACTTTTTCACTGGTTTGACAGTCTTTGTTTCTTGTTATTTTTTTATATTTAATGTTTTAAAAAACATTGATCCTTTGCAAGGTTCAAAATATCTTAGGCATTGTTGGTTTTCGACAGATAAAAATGGCCCAGATGCAACACTCCTCCTCCCAACAACATGAACAATTGCAACAGCAGCAACTGCAACAGGTTGTGCATAGTTATGCAGAACTAAACTTTGTACTTTTTCCATCAGCCCTTGGTTACGGATTCAAGTTTGTGCATGGAAAATTATTGCTATATTTAGTTTTTGAGCTTATTTCTAAACTTGAGCTGTTTCAAAGAACCAAATTTATAGACAAGGATTATATGATTCCTGCTACCATCTTATTCCTTTTCAATTAGGACCTGATATTTAGATAAGCTGATCAGCATCTTTTGCCGTTTTTTCCCTGCAGAATAACAGAAAAAGGAAACAACACTCTTCTTCTGGACCTGCCAACAGCACCGGCACAGGAAACACTGTTGGCCCTTCACCTAGTTCTCCCGCATCAACTCACACACCTGGTGATGGAATTAACACAGCCAGTAGTCTGCAGCATGTTAACAGCATACCAAAAAGCTTGATGATGTATGGTCCAGAAGGAACAGGAGGC